CAACTTGACAGCGCATTAATGAGATTTTCAACCCTGCGCACACAGCAAAACATAACTAGTTGAAATTATAATAAATAAAATCTTAAAAGGGGTTGCTTCTCTCTGATCATCATCAACACCAAATGTGATCATCATCCACATCATCATCAACAGCTTTCTTTAGTTTTGTATTATTATAATTTTTTGATAGTGCCCAAGGCGACCGCTACTTGACTCGCTCGCATAAAGCACAGCACATAGGTAAATATCCTTCAACCTTCAAAGGATATGCACATAGAAAGAATCCTTCACATATACATATAGCCCAACTTTAGCCGGCAAAGGCGTGTCGCGTTGACGGCGACGGCAAAGTGGGACGCAACCAAGTCAAAGCGTTCTCAACAACAAAAGCGATCCGGAGCACACACACAACTGTTGACTCCTTTTCAAAAAAAAACAAGAAAAACAACCAGCGAGCTGTGTGTGATCGCAGTGAAAATACCCTTACTCTGGCAATATGTCAAATGTTATGGGAAATAAAATCAAGTCAAGTCATGTTGAGAGCAGCATTAAGTTCTTGATAAATTGAATGCTTCGGTTTCCCTTTTGATTTGCGGTGGGTTTTAATTTCTGGAAACTCAGTTTTCCACACCACAATTTTTCAAAACTAATAACAATTCACCTTACTTATAAATAAAAAATAATTATTATAAAATAAGAAATTTAATTTAATTTCAAGAACCAAACAATAATAATAATTTTTTAATTAATAAAAATTAAATGTAATAAAACCAAATAAATATTATGAAATGTAATGAACCATACTCAAAGGGTTCAAAAAACAAATATAATTTAAAAAAATTAAAACAAAACCTCTAGAAAATGTCCAAATTAATCAATGCCAAAAAAAAGTAAAAAAAATATTTAAAGACTTTCACAGATTCAATCAGATATAGTTCTTTAATTTCCATATAATTTCATTTTAATTTAAATTTTCGATCGATTGTTCTGATAGAAGATATACTACAAGAAATGTTGGCACATTTAATTAATTTTAAATTTTGAGCTTGAAAAAGAAGTAAATCAAGGCCTTAGTTTCGACCGATCTTTTCTATGACAGCTACATAATATAGTTAGCCGATCCGTCGGAATTCGACTACATCAGAAAGAGGCTTTTTATCAGAATAGCTCGAGTCGGCGTCGAGTTCATTAGGAACAGTCAAAAATAGATTTAATCTAGCGAGTTAGCCTGACTTTTTGTTCATATAAAAATCATAAAAAACAAGCACAACAATTTGTGGCATATTTGATCACAAAACCAAAAAAGACTTTATGGTTAGGGTATGCATACGAAAAAGGACCTAACTGAAAGGCCTAGCAGCAGGGCCTGTGCCTGGGCAAACCGGTAGTCCTCATCCTTATGCTCTGGCTCTTGTGCTTTAGCTACGTAAGACGTTTCCTTGAACTTTTCAAGTGAACTCAAGTTTATAAATTGTGTAGCAAGTACACACACACACACTCACACACACACACTCGCGCACACTCATGCTGGGTTTCAGGTCTATGCTCAACTACCTGGCAAAGCGAACAAAAAAAGCGCCGAAAAAAATCAACAACAACAACAACAACAACAACTGTAGCATGCCCTTGGTTTAGACTATCGGTACATGGCATAGATCACCGAATTCCGAAATAATTCAAACTAGTTTCCATCTTCAGGAATATTTTGTGCATTTTCCCACAGAGGCACAGCACCCTAATTGGCCATCCAATATTCAATAGTCGACCCAGAATTTAGCTCTGTCAATTTTAATTACAATTTATAGACCATACAAATTGAAGATCGAAGTAAACTTAACTCAAGATTCGCAGTCTTCTTTCTTTTTTCGTTTTTTTAATTAGCTCAACAATTGGCAAATGATTTCGCACAGAAGAAGACAAATGTCTGCAATGATTAAGAATTATGATCGTGCACACCCCTGCCCAGTTAGGGGGTAGAAAGTGCATCGAGCACACACAACCGAACGGCCGAAGGACCGAGGGGCCCGCAACAGTTCCTCCTCCTTTCGCACGTGAAGAGAATGCCAATTTTGAAGGCGACAAGCGTAAAAGTCCCACGGAGCTGAAAAATCTCAAACAATGGCTATGCACCTAAGTGATTAAGTGGAAAAGTTACGTCGACTTGACGTCTTCAATGGGCAAGGAAAAAACATTTTCCAGGCACACAATCTGAAGTTCAAAGAGAAAATGCGAACGAAGAGCTTTATTTGTGGGGAGAAAAAGGACAGCAAAAGCTTAGGGAAGCTAATGAACTTCCATGGAAAAATCTATTGGAAGTTCTAAATGGAAGCAACTGGAAGAGTGCTGCTGGAAAGTAGCTTCTGGAAAGAAACGTCTGAAAGGAATTGCTTGATTGCAATAAAAAAGCTCAGAGTTTTCATGGAATAGGTATACTGGAATAAAAGCTCTAAAAGAAAATCTATTGGAATGAAAGTTCTAAATGCAAGCCACTAAAAAAGTGTAACAGGAAACTAGCTTCTGGAATGAAAATTCTGGAAGGAATTGCTGGATTGCAATATAAAAGCTTAAAGAGCTGCCATGGAATAAATATACCACTTACCAAAATTGAGCAAAAAACAGGATTTCGATATCGATTTTTATCGATTACTTGGAAACGGGACAAGGTATCGAATATCGGGACAAGCTCGATCTGCGCGGGGACTAGGAGGCACTACAGCTAAAATTTCAAGTCTCTAGCTCTTATAGGTTCTGAGATCCTTGCGTTCATACATACAGACAGACGGACAGACGGACAGCCGGACGGACGGACGGACGGACGGACGGACGGACGGACAGACAGGCCGACCTGGCTAGATCGACTCGGCTGTTTATGCTGATCAAGAATATATACACTTTATGGGGTCAGTTTTTTCCTTTCTTCATGGTTTGGCCTCTAGAATAATTTGGCATTTAAATCAGGGAACATTATTTTTTGTCCAAATTCATGTCAACTTATACCCTGGACTTGGATCAATCCTCATATAGACATGGGTCAAAACTTCCCAATCCCATAAATCGGTCAAAACTCAACCGATTTTCTCGCGGTTAAGTTTTTTCTTCAAGTTTGGCCTCTAGAATAATTTGGCATTTAAATCTGGGAACATTATTTTTGGTCCAAATTCATGTCAACTTATACCCTGGACTTGGATCAATCCTCATATAGACATGGGTCAAAACTACCTAATCCCATAACTCGGTCAAAACTCAACAGATTTTCTCGCGGTTAGGTTTTTTCTTCATGGTTTGGCCTCTAGAATAATTTGGCATTTAAATCTGGGAACATTATTTTTGGTCCAAATTCATGTCAACTTTTACCCTGGACTTAGATCAATCCTCATATAGACATGGGTCAAAACTACATAATCCCATAAATCGGTCAAAACTCAACCGATTTTCTCGCGGCTAGGTTTTTTCTTCATGGTTTGGCCTCTAGAATAATTTGGCACTTAAATTGAGATGATTAGATAATATAAACTTAACGAGGAAATTTTTAGTAGGCAAAATGTTTAGCAAACCAAATGGATTTAGACTTAAGAAAGCACAAATAACGTAATAAAGTTCTGAAATAAGTTTAACGCTAAGAACCATAAGGACATGAGTTTAAAATCGGGAAAATAAGTTTGTGTTGTGAACAAGAAACACAATAACAAAAGTTTTTATATGAAAACGTGTGCACTTAAATATCAAAGCTGAAAGAAGAAAACGTGAAGGCAGAAAAAGTTTTAAATAAAATATATGCATGTATTCAATATATGGACTGATCTGCTTGTGAATAGGTTCATGTGCCTGTAAATATATATATTTATATAAACTTGAACATAAGGTGATCTATGCGCCTGTGTGGGAACCAAGGTGCTCGGCACCGCTTCCATGCAGTGCCCGCTATCTCTCTCTCTCTCTCTCTGTCCCTGTCTGGCGCTTGGATGTGGCTATGCTGTGGCATATGGGAAAGAATTGGTGACCAGGGCTGACAGAGCTTAATATAATAATGCTGTTTACATAGGCGAAGGGGCGGTATATAAACATGCACGCACACACTGAGAGGACGCGTTATGGTTATGTAAAGGCGCAAAACTTGGGCAGCAAAAACCAACCCTAAAAGGTGCATAAGAGTAGAGCTGGAGTTAGGAGCAGGCGCTGTAGCCAGGCGAGGTTGAGCAGGCACAGGGACAGGCGCAGGCGCTGGCGCAGGAGCTCATTGCGATCAGATGTTAGTTTTCCCAAAAGCCGAAACTGACAGACCAACTGACTGAGGTGTGTGCGCGAGTGTGTGTGTGGATCGAGGGAATGGGCACAGCCAGCGCAGGGACACCCAATACCTAGGGGATGAAAAGTCATGTGTGTGTGCCCGTTTGTGCGTGTGTGTGTGTGTGTGTGAAATAAATGCCGTTTGTTGTTTTCATTTCATTATGTTTTACATAAGCGGCAGACGCAGGCGCTGCGGCAGCGTAGGATACCCGAAGGATACGTTATAATTTTTTTTTCTGCTGCTGCTGCTGCTGCTTTTTTTTTTTTTTTTTTTTTTTTGTATTGTACATTGTGTGCGCCATCAGTCAACGAAGTCATTTCCTGTTGGCAGCGCTGCCACCGCCGCTGCCGCTGTCGCCGCCGCTGCCGCCGCTGCCAACGGCAACAACGTCCACAGAAGAGACGCCCCATGACATTTCTGGTCGGGCACGCGACACAGAACGCTAGCAGCTGTCCTGCCGTAAGGACCTAATACACCAAGCAAGTCCAGAACAGAAGCCTCGAACCACAGCCAAGTCCATAGACCAGTCAGTTGGCAACGAGCAGTCGCCAGGCGCAGAACGACGACAACGTCACGCAAGCATATATATATATATATATATATATATATATATATATTTATATATATAAAGAGAGGGAGAGACAGCGGGAGCGCGCGAGTTTTGGGGGTCCAGACTGTCCGTGTGTGGAGACTTGGAAGCGGCGCCACATCAATGGCTGCACTCAGCTTCAGCCCATCGCCGCCGCCCAAAAACAACAGCAGCAGCAGCGGCGGCAGCGGCGGCGGTGGCAACAGCAAGGAGAATGCCGCCAGCAACCAGCTTAAGAGCAGCGCCCGTTCGGCGGCTGTAACCCCATTGGGCGGCAGCAGCAAGGCATTCACCAAAATCACCGTGAACAATGTGCTCAGCGAGAGCGGCGCCAATGCGCTCCAGCAGCACATTAGCAATCAGAATACAATTATACGCAAGATCAAGGATTTCGGCATGCTCGGTGCCGCAGCAGCAGCGGCAACAGCAACAGCTACAGCAACGACAACAGCGGGCACAGCGTTGAACCGAAAGCGGCCGCTGGGCGAATCCAGATGCCAAAACATCGAGAATAAGCCATTTGGAGCTGGCAACGCAGCCGCCGTGAACAGTGCCAAACGCAGCAAACTAACCAAAAAGCAGCCAAAGCAAAGCCAAAGCCAAAGCCAACAGTCGACAACGCTGGAGCAGCAGCAGCAGCAGCAGCTGCCCGTGGCCAAGTGCCTGGCGGAGCTGGTGCAGCGAGCCGGTGCGACGGGCACACCGGGACGCAAGGGACTGCCGCTGCCGCAGGCTGTGGCGCGTCGCAATGCCCGGGAACGCAATCGGGTCAAGCAGGTGAACAATGGCTTTGCGGCGCTGCGCGAACGCATACCCGACGAGGTGTCGGAGGCGTTTGAGGCGCAGGGCGCCGGACGTGGCGCCAGCAAAAAGCTATCCAAGGTGGAAACTCTGCGCATGGCCGTCGAATATATACGCAGTCTGGAGCGTTTATTGGGTTTCGATTTTCCGCCGCTGTCGGCGGCTGCGGCGGCTGCTGCTGCCGCTGGCTGCAATTCGAATAGTTCATCTAGCGGCGATGATAGCTTCATGTTTATCAAGGATGAATTTGATGGCCTCGACGAGCATTTCGATGATTCGCTGAGCAACTATGAGCTGGACGATAGCATGTGCATCCAGGAGCAGCAGACGCAGTCACAATCGCAGCAGCAGTCGCTGCTGCTACAGCAGCAGCAGCAGCAACAATTGCCGGAGGAGCTGCTGCTGCCAAATGTGACGACGCTGAACGGACTGCAGTATGTGAGAATACCCGGCACGAGCACCTATCAGCTGCTAACGCCGGATATGCTGCAGCAGGATAGCTCAAGTCTGGAGGATGAGGAGCATTTTAATGCATTAATTGACACAAATTGCCTGAGCAACAGTCCAACAATTGCTGCAGCTGCGCCAGCTGCCCCAAGCAACGGTGAATGTGTAAAATTCAGCTCAAATTTATCGCGATCGCCCGTGCCAACAGCAACAACAACAGCAGCAACAACAACCAGTCGCAGCACATCGCCGGCAACAGCAACAACAACAACAACACGAGGCAGTTCATCAATGCATCAACCACCAAGCGAAGCCGCTGCCGCTGCCGCTGCAGTTGCAGTTTCACCTGTCGCCGTTGCCGTTGCTAATGAACTCTTGTTGCAGGCGTGTGCCGCACAACAGCAACGACAGCGGCAACAACAACAACAACTGATCAAACAGGAATACAGCGAGGGCGATTTTGTGCATGTCACCAGCAACAACAACAACAACAGCAACAGCAGCAGCTCCCCGCCAGCAATCAACCGCAACAACTATCAGCAACAACAACAGCAACAACAGCAACAATTGCTCTGCGCTGCGTCGGTGCTGCCGCCGTTCTATGATCAGGAAACGGCCTCGTTCTATGACAATGTTGTTGTTGGCCTGCCCAGCTTTAAAAAGGAGTTCACCGATGTCCTGCAGGATCCGACGACAAACAATGCCAGCGTCTGTCTATCCGATGAGAGCATGATCGATGCCATTGACTGGTGGGAGGCGCATACGCCCAAATCGGATGCTGCCAGCACTGTGGCGGGCATTTAATACAAAACAGCGTTGCCAGACTACAGCCGAAAATAACAAAACCCCTTCCCCCTCCCCCTTGAGTAACCAACCACCTGTATATAGCTTAACGGTAGCTTAGTCCACTTAGTGCTCTAAACCAAAACTAACCAAGTTCTTCGAAACTGTTCAAGAAGAAACGAACTAACTTTTTTTTTGTCGTCTTTTTTTTATCGTAATTTAAGTTAAATTTTTTTTGCCTAGCTTAAGTTGGATGTTAATGAGATGTTGCATTGCATATATAAGGAAATATATTTGAAAACAATATGGAAAAAAGAATACAAAAAAAAGTTTGTTTTTCGCCCACTTAGCGCTGAATTTGCTGGGACTTTTGCTTCTCAATCAAAAATGGAAATTCTATCTTCATGTTGTCTTCAAGTTCAACGTTTGCCAAAATTGAATCATCTGAAAGCTTTGTCTAATAAGATCTTAACTTTCCCAAGTAAAGTATCTTTTTTTTTTAAAGAAATTAAATTAAATTAAAGTTCGGTTCTTAGCGTGCCTAAAATATTTTAGGTATATTCTGTGAGGTTTTAAGATTCCAATATGATCATAGAGTTTCATTCCATGAACTTCCAAAGTTCTAAAAGTTCAAATTATTATTCATCAGGCTCTGGCATTTAAGGTTCTTGACTTCTTGAGTAGATTCATCTGAGTAGATTGTTTTCGAAAGCTCTAAGTTTTCGCGATCACTGATCCTTGTTGAATCCCCAAGCTGTTTAGTCAGAAATCATTCCAGATCATCAAAGTGAAAGCAGCTGCCAAGCACTTCAAATTATAATGTTTTAGTCTCTAAGCTTCTAGTGTTGCGATGTCTGATCTTCAAGTATGTTTTTCACGCATTTTACTCAATATCGCTGGTCCTCAAGGACTAAAAATTTTACGATCTCTGATCTTCAAGTAAGTTCTTCTATTATTTTACTCACGATCGCTGATCCTCAAGCATTACACATTAAACTCAGTTAGTTGTGATGCTCGTAAAGTTATTGTTACGGATCGTTACACAGCGCAGAGATCTTAGATGTTGTTCAAGCTTCGGTCGCCGAACTTTAAATCAGGTCTTGAGGTTTTTTTAAACGATCTCAGATTTGACAACCCTTAAAATAGAACAAAGCTCTAACATTTCGTATCTACGAGCACTGCAACTAAAGAGAACTTCTATTTCCCAATATAAAAATGATTTTCGGGAAACAAAAGATGATCTTGGCTGCGAGATCAACTATCTTTGTTCTACTTTATATTTTCCATTCGGTCTTTTTTCAGTCAGTTGTCAAATCTGTGTTATTTTCTAAACGATCTCAGATTTGACAACTGATGGCCAATAGATCATTTTTGCTGCAGGAGTTCCTAAGTTTCTCACCTCACATTTTAATGGCTTAGTTTCCAACATGAATATTTAGGATCAGCAATCGCTGATCTTATACACAAATTTTCCCATTTGCAAACAGTTTTATTTTATCTATTTAATATACAAATTCACATATTCAAACACTTGCAATAAAAGGTAAAAGCTTCTCAAGCTCTTTGCTGATATTTAGGCACAACAATTTTCATATATCGAGTATCCAAGTTTTTCGGGCACATTTTTCAAAATATTCTAACGGTTTTTAATTTACATGCCATGCTCTTAATGACAATGAAACATGCACCGTCATTAGCATTAAACACACACACACACAGCATATGTGCTCTATGGGCCAAGGGTCTTAGTCAGACCGTCCCGTCACAATGGACAAGGTCTATATATATATGCATATATATAACAAAAAAAACGGAATTAAATCAGCATATCATGTTCATTTTCATAAGCGGCGAAGCATGCAAGGACATGCGGCACACACAAACAGAGAGACAGGCACACACACACACACACACACACGCACACAGACAGCGAATACAGGAACTCAGCAAGTGAGGCACACACAGGACTCTGTGGCACACATAGACAGCAGATATGGCAACATTTGCATAAGCGAACGCATTGGCCAAGGATCGTCGAGTAGTTGGGTTGCTTTTGGGCTGGGTAAAGCTGTTGGGCTCTGCGAGTTCCAGGCGCTCCGGTAAGGCACAAGGCACTGCGCTTGAGCGCGCCGCTTGCTTTTTATTCAAATGAGCCGCCTCGCCCCCCTCCCTCTATGTGCCCATGTCCTGATAAATGACAGCAGACAGAGCACACAACCGAATGTGCTGCAGCACAACTGCACAACGTGGGAATGGGAATCGTTGCAAGTGTTTCATTTTTAAATTTCCCATACGGTCTACATTTAAACATGTGGCCCCGAGAACTTTTCCTTTTTATTACAGCGCTCGCAACACTCGCCACGTCCTGCATATTGATGAGCAGCAGGGCAATGAGCATGAGCACAAAAACCGCAAAAGCATAACATTTGAGTTTCGGTTTAGGATCACATCAAAATAATCTCAGTTCAAGAGCAGCAAGCGAGGGGCTTATACACAGATTCTAATTGATGATTGTTCACATTACATTTGCCAGCTTATAGATCATTAAGGCTCATCATGATTAGATAATTAAGATGATAAACGTTAAGGGATTTCTCTCTTTGTTGAGTATGTAAAAAAACAGAACATTTTAGAATGTTAAATGTTAAATATTGATAGAAAAAAATTATTACAAAATTAATAAATAAACTTCCATCTCGCATTTATATAACAAGTAGTATAATATGTATATACTAGCAGGCATGCTACCCGGCTTACCCGGGCAAAGTATTTTTTATAACTTAACTTAACTTTTTTCATATTTAAACAGATCCCAAGCAAAGCATTTTTCATTAAATTATTATTATTATTTCGACAATTGTACGCAATACTTTGATGTACGAATAATTTTTGACAGTAATTCAATATCGACTGAACAAAAACGAATCACGGAACTCTCATCTCATTTGGAAATTTAATCAACATTTTCTGCCAATAAAATGCAGTTTATTTTTGCCAATAATCTGTCTTATTTGTATTTACACAAAGTTCACAAATTGATGCCGAACACATGATAAACGCAACAAAATAAAATATATAAAACAGTTTCCACCTATTTTCCACACATGCGGGTGAAAATGCAAAGTTTAAGCATATAGCGGTAAGATTCTTTCTATGCGAATTATCCAGCGCAACATTCTCAAAAGATTCCCAGAAAACTGTAAGTTGCTCACCAATCGTTCAGTCAGTCAGTCAATCAATCCATCAATCAGTCAATGATAAAACGAGATATGGTTTGGTGAAAATAATCCTCTATGCTTATACAGAACGCACTCCAAAAATTCCCAGCGAAATGTAAGTTAGTCACCAATCATTCAGTCAGTCAGTCAGTCAGTCAATCAGTCAGTCAGTCAGTCAATCAGCCACATACAGTGTAATTTGCCTATATAGTTTTAGATATGTTTTCAATTATCTGCCTTATAACGAGACAAGTCTTAAGAATAGTAGAAAATAATCCTAGATAATTTAGCAGAACTCGTAAAAGATTCCCACCAAAATTCCCAAATAATAATTTACTGATTATAATGGATATGCATCATTAAAATCTAGTGCTAATGGCCTGGGTCTCCTGGTAAATTGTCCTCTTTACTGTGCTGTGCCGTCCTGCGCCCGCGCAGCTGCCCTGGGCCTGGCGCTCGGGGCACAAGACAAAGCCCGCCCAATGCCGAAATGATGCAAAATTATCTACACACGCACACACACACACACACACACAGAGAGTCCCCGCTCGAGGCAGTAAGAAAAGAAAATCATTAAGAAAAATAAAATAAGAAGATGAAGTAACCCAAAGACCAGAACGACCCGTGCGCCGAGTGAGAGAGAGAGAGAGAGAGGGGGAGGGGGGAAGCTGTTGTGGCATAACAATGCGGCAGTTGCATCTGCAGCGCCCGCTCTTGGACGTTTCGGGTAATACGAGTGAGCCGCAGCGCCTACAACCCCCAGGCCAGGTCCACAGTCAGAGCCAGAGCCAGGGCCAGGGCCAGGCCAGTTCCAGGTTTCGTATTCCAGGTGTGTTTGTCTAGGCTCGGCGCGCGTACCCTTGTGGGTGCCCCGAGAGAGTTTTCTCTTGCGCTAACTGTTCATCTGGCAGCGCCGTTAGGAGTGAAAAGCAAAATCCTGCCCCGAAGCACCGTTATGCTTATTAATATTGCGCCAGGTAATGCGACACGCCCTTGCTAGCTCTATATATAGAGCTAGAGAGAGAGAGAGAGACAGTGAGAGGGAGAGGGAGAGTTGCACAATATCTTAGCTGTTCGCTCGCTCTGATTACACCTTCGATTTCTCACTCTCATATTTCAAAATTTTCAATTCCCGTTTGCCGAAATTTCCCGTTGCTTGTCAAAAATCAATTTGATTCCTTTTTTTTCTTGGCTCCGTTTAATTATGCCCTCGTCTTTTTTTTTATGCCAAAGGCTTAGGCAGATGAATATTCATTGTGGGATTCCCTTTGATACCCTCTGGCACTCCGCCTCCGCCTCCGCCTCATCCTACTCCAACTCCTTGGCCAGCAAAAAATCGTGATCGACCTTCTGCCGCTGTATTTGGTTACACAGCGCGGCTTTTGGTTTTTCGTGAGCTCTGCACAGTTATTTTGGGACACGCCCCCAACGAAGCGCATGTCACCCATTGAATATTGAATATTCATTCATAAATCATTTCATGTAATAACTCATTATTCGTTTGTGGCATGTGCGCCGACTCCAGCAGCCAGCAGCCAGCCGCCAGCCTCCAGTCACTCCTCGCCTGGTTACGAGTTTGAGTCTGGGCCGCTTGTCACCCGGCTCCTCGGGCTGGGCATATAACGTTACCTCGCCAGGTGCTGTTCGCATTGATCCTGCCAACGCGTTCGAACACGCGCTTTGCATTTGCTTCGTTTAATAAGACATTTCGGTACAAATTCCTTAACAATACTTCTGCTTGAACGGGGGGTGAACTCAGGGGAGGAACTTATCAAAATAAATCTCTATTTAGTTCGATCTTTG